CATGGAGTTTTGCAGTGGATGGGATGCCAAGTCAACTCAACATTTCCCAGCTTCCTAACCCACCAAAAGAGAAAAGTTCATCCTCTGGCAAGCCCCAGATTAAGGCTCTTATTGTGGCCTTATCGGTTGCGGTCTTCGTGTTGTTGGGAATTTAGTTCTTCTTTACCTTGTATAAAAACATACTGGGGTTTGAGTATGAGAGTCTTGAGGATTGGGAGCTGGATTGTCCTCAAAGGTTCAAGTACAAGGATCTTTATGCAGCAAGCAATAAGGGGTTTCAATGCCTCTGGCGACTTTGGTAAACTTTACCAGGGTGTCTTATCTTTCACCTCAGAGTTGAGAGATAATATTGATTTTTTGTAATCTGGCCAAAACATTGAAGCCATAAATTATTCAACCTACAAGTATTTCAATGTATAGGGAAAATATATCTTGTGATCCATTTAATGATTGATTATATAAGATAAAATATATCTGCATTACAAACATTGTGATGAAAATACTTTTTGCACCTCTACGTGGAATGATTTCGAAGCATTGTGATGAGATCATAACTGAAAAGATCTTCAATTTTTTTGCCACTCTACGTGGAATGATTTCAAAGCATGAAGGTCTAATACGTAAAGCATACTTTTTCCCATGACTGGCATGGAGTTTTCCTGCCTTGGAGGCCACAAAAATGGGCTCTTCCTTTCTGGGGTTATTATTGTATGAATTTCTGAATAACGTGGTATACCATCCATCAATCTTTGTAACCCTCCGGTTATCTTCTTCGTGGACCAATTAATATTAAGATAAATGGGTTTTTTCAGAAATGGTATTTGAATTATACCCATAATTACATTTTGATCACTCAACTTCAAAAATAGTTGCAGAGATCTCCCAATTATGTATGATGTTGCATTATTAGTCTCTTTCGTCAAGTTTGTTTAATTTTCCGTTAAATCTATGGGTAAACTTGGAAATTCATTCCAGATATTTATAAAAACAAAATAACAAAAAATAAATAAATAAGGGTTATTTGTAGCAATGGTCCCTCAACTATACTCGGAGTTACATTTTGGTCACTCAACTCCAAAAAATAGTTACAAATGTCACTAAATTAAGTGTTGTGTTGCACCATTAGTCTCTACCGTCAAGTCTCTATAATAGTAGGGGCTAATGGTGTAACATAATACCAAATTGAGTGACCTCTGTAACTATTTTTGGAGTTAAGTGACCAAAATGTAATTTCGAGTATAGTTGAGAGACCATTGCTACAAAAAACCCCAAGATAAACCATCAAGATGTTGACATATATTATATTTATGCTTAGTTTATCATGTGCAGAGCTTCACAGCGGTCGCTGTCCCAGCCTCCAATATTATTGCAGGATTATTTTTATACGTTAATTAGCAGAAAAATGTTTGAACATCTCTGTTCACATGCTAATTTGATTTGTGAGTTTTGGATTTGAGCCATGTGAGTACAAAAAGCTATGGAAAACCCTGTTAATCGGTTCTGTTCTTTGCTGGTGTCATTGCAGAAAGCAGTGTATGATGAACCATTGCAATGTAATTGAAAGTTAATCATTTGTTATCATAATTCATGGCTTAATTAAGACATGGAGGTTTAGAGCAAACAACAGCGGGTAATCTTCAATCGTATCGTTTGGTCGAAACAAATAAGATTTTATACCAAGTCATCTTAAGCATGTTCATGCAGATTGTTAGATAGATTTTCTTCAAACTGAGACCTTTAGTCAATCTGATTATTTTGTCACATGGTAATGAAAGCATTTCCACAAGCTGCAAATTGGATGATTGTAGCAATGGGATGCTGAGTATCATATTAATCTGTGTACTTGCCTGCCTTAGATATCCTAACATATAGCCTGCTAGCTTGATAGATAATTGAGAAAAATGACAGCAAGTTACCAGTTTTCTGATTTTATTTATCAAAGTATCGATCATAGAGTACGGACTGGTGTGAGGATGCAAAAAGAAAACGAACTCAACTCAGACAAACAAAACCAACAAATAAGAAAACCCAAGAAAGAAAAAAAGATGCTCAACTTGCAGTTTTCAACCGTTGCCAAAGAATTTCAATGGTCGTTTGGGGACCCTTTCTATGGAACATTCCAATGTGAGTACATTTGGGTTGGTTGGTCATTTGAGTCATTTCACATCCAGCTCTGAAATCAATCCTCGTGGCGTTGCCTAAGCCTAGTGATCACACACGCACAGAGCATAGTTAACTTTGACTTTGGACACGGGAGAGGAGAAAAGATTGCAACGGTCTTCAATTATTGAGATTCCTGGCGCTTGGGTCAACAGAAGCCACTCAAATATAATAATCTGCATTAATTAATTAGTCTAAACATAGTACTAAAAATAGTATTAAAAAATGAAAAACAATTACATGGTTTCAATGGGTTAATCTTTAATTGTTGCTTGCTTTTTGCCTATTTTAGTTCTAAGACATTCTATTCTGTGAACATTAAAAAGTCTACATTTCATTTCATAACCTGCTTTTAGTAGAAAAACAAATAATTGAAAGAAAAAAAAAATTCCTTTCTTGTATCAAGAGGAATCAGCTTAACATATAATAAATTCTTCTTCTTCATCTTTTTTTATTTACAAAATTCTTCTTCTTGCTAACACAGTTCCTAAGAGCCCAGGTTGAGGAGAGAGACTTTCGTGCAACGGATATAGCACTTTTTGCTAACTTGGCCAATAGTGCAATGACAATCGGATTTTTCCACGTGTCATTGAATTATAGGCCTGTAATAAATAACAAAACAGTGATATTCTCGTTACAATAAAGTTTTGCTACAAGTTGAGAGTGCAAAAAGCTCACCCACATGTCCAGATATTATAATTTCAAATTTTTTTTTTCTTCTTAGTCCCTTCTTTTTCTGTGTTGTTGCATTCTCGCTCTCCAAATGTTCAATGTACCTTAAGAGTCAAGGCTATAAATTTATAGTTAGCGGTCATTTTGTCACAGAGTAGACTGAAGGATCTATAGCCACTAAAATACTGGAGAAATGTTGATAATCACTCAAGTCCTTTTCTTCCATGACTTATCATAAGAGGGTTAATTGTTAAAGGTTGAGCAAGTCAAGGGAGCCAATAATAATAATCCAACATGCCATTATCAGTTGGTCAATAATTTCGTTTAAGTCTTTTTCTCTTGGAACATTCAGAACACCTCCCAACGCGGTAAATGAACATTTATATATAATTCCATTATCTCTTGGACAATTAATTGCAAAGTGCCTCAAGAAATCTCAGTTCCCTATTGGCAGGGTTGTTTACCTTTGTTGCTGCCTTGGCCCTCAGCTTAGGACAGACAACAGTCTCAAAACCTTGACCAATTCAAGTCCTTCACCTTCCTCTCACTCCTCAGCTACATTAAGGTCTTTCGACTTGCTCCAATCTGCAATTTCTCAGCTCAAAACTTCAATGGCTTTAGCAGTTTCTTTAGCCTTGTTCCTTGTCTTCTTGTTTCCCATTTGCTCTCTGGTTCAGGGAGTTGAATTCCTGTTCAATGGGTTCAATGGAAGTGAATCAAATCTGACCCTGGAGGGGGCTTCTATAGTCAAGCCCTCTGGTATGATCAGGCTCACTAACAAATCACATGATATTATAGGCCATGCATTCTATGACAAACCTATAAACATGTTCGACAAAAACTCTTCTTCATACCCCAATGCTTCTTTCAGCACACATTTTGTTTTTGCAATAGTCTCATCAAGCCCCGGCAAAGGTGGCTTTGGCCTAGCCTTCACACTGGCTCCCTCTCCACGGTTCCCCGGGGCTGAACCCGGGCACTTCCTTGGGATTGTCAACTCTAAAAATGACAATAGCTCTTCGAACCACATCTTTGCTGTTGAATTCGATACGGTAAACGGGTTCAAGGAAAACTCCAACACTGCAGGAAACCATGTTGGCATCAACATTAACAGTGTGTACTCTGTGGCATCTGAACCAGCTGCTTACTTTGTCGCAGGTGCGCACAAAGAAGAAATGGACTTGGAGAGCGGTGATCTTATCCAAGCTTGGATAGATTATGATGGCAAAACTCAAATTGTGAATGTCACAATTGCATGGAGTTTTGCAGTGGATGGGATGCCAAGTCAACTCAACCTTTCCCAGCTTCCTAACCCACCAAAAGAGAAAAGTTCATCCTCTTACAAACCCCAGATTAAGGCTCTTATCGTGGCCTTATCGGTTGTGGTCTTCGTGTTGTTGGGAATTTTGTTCTTCTTTACCTTGTATAGAAAAATGGTGGGATTTGAGTCTGAGAGTCTTGAGGATTGGGAGCTGGATTGTCCTCACAGGTTCAAGTACAAGGATCTTCATGCAGCAACAAAGGGTTTCAAAGCCTCTGGTGTGATTGGAGCCGGCGGCTTTGGTGAAGTTTACAAAGGTGACTTAGCTTCTACTGGATGTGAAATTGCAGTTAAGAAGATCACAAGAAATTCCATTCAAGGAATGAGGGAATTTGCGGCAGAAATCGAGAGCTTGGGACGATTGAGGCACAAGAATTTGGTCCATCTCCTAGGCTGGTGCAAGAAAAAGAACAACCTCCTTATAGTCTACGATTACATCCCATATGGAAGCCTTGACACACTCGTTTTCGAGCCCAGAGGCAACTTTGTATTGAGCTGGGAGCAAAGATTCAACATCCTCAAAGGCATTGCCTCCGGATTGTTGTATCTACATGAAGAATGGGAGCAAGTGGTGATTCACAGAGACGTGAAGTCGAGCAACGTCTTGATAGATGTAGACATGAACCCCCGGCTAAGCGACTTTGGTCTTGCCAGGCTCTATGATCACGGGGAAATATCACACACAACAGGTGTGGTTGGTACAATTGGGTACATTGCCCCTGAATTGGCTCGCACAGGGAAGGCCTCCACATGCTCTGATGTGTTCGCATATGGGGTTTTGCTCCTTGAAGTGGCTTGTGGGCAAAGACCTATCGGCTCAGGCGAATTCATTCTGGCGGATTGGGTGATGGAGAAGCATAAAGAGGATCGCATACTAGAAACCGTTGATCCGAACTTGGATTCGAATTATGTTGTTAAGGAGATGAAGTTGGTGCTGGAGCTGGGTTTGATTTGCTCTCACTACAAACCAGACGCTAGGCCTACAATGAGACAAGTGGTACGATATCTCCACGAGGATGAGGAGCTCCCAGAAATCGACAACTGGAGCATTGTTGATTCTGGACGGATCAGTGAAACGAACGCAAGATTTATGCAGCTCCTTTCGACTGATACAATCACATCGTATCAGTCATCATCCGTAGGTGGGATCTCTTGCAGTTCCATGAGCGGTGGCAGATAACAGTGGTTTTACGCTTTCAATTTTTGCTCCCCATTCTTTTTATTTCTGATTTATTATTGGGGGAGATTCAATTCAAATCAAGCATTGTAACATTTGGCTAAAATTCATTTTCCAATCAATTATATATATAAGTTTTTTAATTCTTAAGCTATAACAAAAATTATTAGAGCTCTATTCTAAGTTCATTAAGCATTTGATTTGATGCAAACTAGGAAGTCAAATGTCGTTTGGGGCTTCTAAGCATTGTCGTAGAATATGAAGTTGTACAGCAGTACGAGTAAAGAAGCATGAGAAAAACTGAAGGAGAACATAAAAATTGACCCATCAAACCACTGATCAGTGGATGTATTACAATTAAGAGAGTTCAAAAACATAAGAAAAGCCACCTTCATACTGGCTTCAATGATGATGGTTTTCTAAGAAATCTCAGAAGTACAGAACCTGTGTCCATTAGGCCTCGCTGAATACTAATACTAGACAGAAAATATCATTTACTCACTAAAAGAACCAGCCACTTCTCATGACTCCATGATGCGCCTAATCCTCTCCAGAGTCCAAGCTGCCGTTGTCCTGAGTTGTTCATCATCGGATTGAAGGCACTCTTGCAAAAAGGCATCAATGAATGCAAGGTCCCCAAACAGCTGCTTAATGTTTGGGCCAAGTACATCTGCAACGTCACCCAATGCAGCAACTGCAGCATTTGTCACACTGTCATCCCTGTAAAACAAGGACAATCAGATGCGAAGAAAACAGATTCCAAACCGGCAAGAGAGAGAGAGAGAGAGAGAGAGAGAGAGAGAGAGGATGATACCTGTGCGTCTCCCTTAAGACCAATTCAACAAACTGCAGGATATGTTGGGCATATGGCAGCATGACATGAGGCTTTGAATTCTTAAAGCCCTGAAGTATACCAGAATAAGCTTCAAAGATGCTACACTTTAGCTGGTTTCCATATTCCAATAACTCATCATCATTAGCACTGGAGTCCATCCGAGCACAAAGCTCCGCAGCTCCCTGCATCATCTGCACTGCATAAGGTGTATACTTCTCAAAATGTTCTCCTATTGCAAGAGCTATGTCGCCAAAGACAGAGAATATGGGAGGCTTGACAGACCGGTGGAGCGCTTCACTAGACAAGTCTTTCATCAGGTGATTCATAATCCCATCACAGTACTGTAATGCCTTGTCATCCAAGGCACGGCAAATGTCACCAACCACCCCAACTGTGATAGCACAGACTTGATACTCCTCAAAATTCTGCAACCCCATCTCCAAATACTTGTACAGTTCAGGCAGGTACTTTTCAAAATGATACCCAGTTGCATAAGCCAGTGCACCTATAGCTAGCATTGCTTCCTCATGCACTGTAGAACTACGGCAAGCAAACACTCTAAGAAACAAAAGCATTATCTGATCTGCTGCCTCCAATATAAAGCGCTTAGTTTCCTCAACACTGCTAAGTTTCTGAATGATAACCTGAAGGACACCACAAAAAGAAGCTTGCAAGTCTCCTTGCTTTTCCTTGTCATCTGACGATACAATCTGAAGCTCCAAAGTCTGACCCAACTTATTCATGATCACAGGGAGTAGCTGAACTATAATTTGTGATGTTTCTACAATATTGGAACACCTTACGACTGCATTCACTGATTCATATGCAGTAGACCTCAATCTAGAATCATCCCCATCTGGACGACTAGCAGTGGAAAGAAGACATTCAATGATGGCTGGGACATATGGAGTAAAGAGAGAGGAAGAGGTTCCTGCTTCCTCATACCCTTGGCAAAGGTGATAAATGGCGCAACAGACCTTCTCTGCAACATTTGGAGCATCCTTCGTGCCTTCCAACAATACTTCCACCACCCTTGGAAGGTTATCAGGAGAAATCACAGAAAATCCCCGAGCAGGATGGTGCAAAAACTCAAATATACGACTGAGAGTCCAAGCAGTAGTGTCTTTGACATGGTTGTTTTCATCCTTCATTAATCTTAGCAGGAAATCTAAACCTGCATGGACCAGACCAGATAGCTGCTCAATGGTTGGGCCTTCAATGATTGAGCCAAATGCGAATGTGGCTGCCTCGCGACAGTGCCAATCTGGCTTCACTATGTTAGCCTCCACAAATGGCATCACAAGAGGTAGAATGGCATCCCCAACAGTCCTCGCAACAAGTTCTAGGCATGTCCCGCCAGCCATTGCAATATTCCAAATGTTGTCATCTTGGTCTAGATTTTCTTCCTGTTTCAGCAAAGTTTCCAGCAGCATTGGAACTAGAGATGTCAGAGCTTTTTCTATAAAACGTGAATGAGGCACAGAGTCCCCACTCTCACCACTCTCAAATTCTTGAAGCTCTATTTCTTCATCACAAATGGAGCTCCAAAACTCAATTGCTTGGAGGGCAACGGCCTCTTCATCCCCCTTTACAGCATTTGACGTAAGCTCAAAGAGAGCCTGCATATAAGGCTCAAGCACCTCATAGTACCTTGAAGCAATTGAAGCAAGACACTCAAAAGCAGCCTGCCTAATATCTACCTCCTTAGACAAGGCCGTCTCACAGATCATCTTCATGATGTAATTCCGTTCCATCTCATTTTCAAAGTTGGTCTGTGCAAACTCCAGGGCATTATATAGAGCCCTTGTTGCAGCAAGACGGACTTCAGGGCTGTTTTCAGCAAGGTTCATTCCTTGGACTACAGCAGTAAGAACATTGTTCACCTCATCTTGCCCAAGATCTTGATGGGATATCTCCTCACATACATAACCAAGTGTTTCCAAGGTTGACTGTTTCAAACCAGCAGGGTTATCTCGCTGAGTCATATTGTTAAGCAAAGATCCAATTAGGCCAGTCCACTGTTTCCTGGGAATATCAATAGAAGCAATTTTCGCAATAACTTGGGCAGAGGTGTGTCTTGCCTCTGACACAGGTGACCCAAGTGTCCTTAAGAGCAAGTCCTTGATTTGGGATATAATAGAAATGTCAATAGTCATCCATTGTCGAGCAAGATGTTCTTTTGTAACAGCATCTTTGGCATCTAATGAGTTCTTAAGCACTATACCAGCCAACGTACGGGATTCAGTGGGTTTCTCATTGTTTGCAAGCTCAACTGACAAAGACAGAAGAAAAGAAGGAGCATTTTGCTCTTGAAATTGCCTAAGATTAGCCTCTGCTTCAGTACGAATTCTTGCATCAGCTGATTGAGCTGCCAATAGAAACTGAGTAATCTCCATAGCCATTTATTTCCTACAACAAAAGAAACCACAAAAAGATACATAAGAATATATAAACAGACAATAATGATTGAGTTGAAACCAATGATTTCTTGAGGCTATACAGTATGTCATTGACTAAAGATTACAAAAAAGAAAACTAAATTAATTAAAAAATCTACTTGAAAATTTGCTAAATCAATAGAGGACATACACATTGCAAGGGACAGTGAAAAGAATGATCAAGCATGAAAGCAGCAACTGTAGAGAGAAACAGAAACCTCCAAATACAACTAACATGACAACCAAACCATAACTTGCACTAAAATTACATAAAATTGCAACTCATGTCTTTTTCTCTTCTATACCCAAGGTGATTCAAGCATCACCCGATTGAACCAAATTCCTAACTAACTGGCCAAATTCAGTTTCTGAAACACCAGAACCATGACATCAGAAACTTCTAAGCCAGAAGCTTAATTCCTTAAAACTCAGAAACAAAGCATCATGTGAGAAACATAGAAAAATCTCCCCATCTTCCCTCTTCTTTTCATTCAGATTTCCAGATAAACAATTTAAAATGATTTAAACTAAGTTGTAATATAAAATAACCTCACTCATAACCATTTATTACAATTTAAATCGCTTAAGAGTAAGAAAGACAACCCAAATAAACAAAAGGAAAGAAATGTAGACGAACACACAGCTTAAATCCTCAAAACCCCAAACATGACACAATCCATGACATGCACTATTCGATTGAGAACAACAAGTAAGATCCTGAATACTGAAACCCTAAGGAACCGCATTAGACTAAATAAAACCCAAATCACATTTCACACAGCAAATACTAGAGCGGAGCACAAAACCTAGGGGACCAAAAACACGTAGAAACATACAAAAGCAGCAGATCTATTACCAGAAATGTAAACCAAACAGCATAGATTGAGATTAGAAAGAGAGAGATACCCCAAGTAGAAGCCGATGAAGCAGCGCGCGCGAGTATGGCTCTAAAACCCTACTCGAAGAACAAATGGAAGAGCAAGCGAGCACTTCACCTCCCCTCTGCACGTTGCGTAGAGACAAAGCAGAGCACACAGAGAGCAAGAGAGAAGAGAGAGAGATTGAGGAAGAGAGCGTATGAATGAAAAAGAATTTATCGGCGATTTATATAATGGTTTATATTTCGAATGCTTGGAAGAAGCGGGAGGGAGACGAGAGGGGGTCACCAAAGTTTCTGAAATAAGAACCAGCGGGCAGGGGTCTGTGCCTGCCCGAGGCTGCCCGGGTTCACCGCCCTTGAAAACCCTAGGATTTTTTAAATCTCCCACGTGTGAATGGTTGGTTCGTGCCGACAGCGTACCGTTCAGAAATATCAAATAAACCTTTTGTTTTGTTTTTTTTTGTTTTGTTTTTTTTTTTGTTTCTTTTCTAAAAGTAATATCATATAAACTTTTTTGGTAGATAGTCAAATCTCCCACATTTCCAAAACCACTACTGTATTTAAGATATTTGAATAATCATGCAGTTTAGGGAAAAAAAATTTGAGATAAATACAATGGAATTACAACGATCATTAAAAAACATACATAAGAAAAATGTGGCTATACATTGTTGAATTACCAATAGCGCACGTACATGCAACGTTGCAAATTCAATGACCACAAACAATGAACTTACATCATTGCACCATTGGCATTTTGAGGACCATAAGAGAATGCGCTTTTGAATACACATTTTCTTACTTTTCCAAAAGATATGATTCACTCTATTTGTATTTTGTATATGTTAATGAATGCCAAGCCATGGTTTGATGAGCAACATTTGGATTTGAGTAGAAAATGTCTTAGTGAATAATAGCCAGCCTTTGTTGGTGACCTTAAATTATAAGGAATTTGATGTTGGTATGCAGTGTTTGTCCATAATCTGAAATTAAAATTTCATAATTACCAGCATAAGTACCAATTCATCCATATCAATATGGAACATAAAAATTATATGGAGATTTAAATGAGATTGCAGTTAATTTCTCTGCACCATCAGATCAAACCAATAAGCAGAATGTAAGTAAAACTTTTTGACAAATAGAAACAAAAGCATCAAAAAGAAGAAAATTTCATAATTATACTATTACTATACATCAAGTTCTAATTACTTAATTAGCCTTTTAGCTACTTATGATCTATGTTTCTTGTGTTTTACACTGCAATGAGCTTGTGCACTGACAGGGCTCTTAATTCCACAGAGCTTGTGCTTCATGCGCCAAGGGAAGAAAACATGCAAGCCACAACCCTTGGGTGAAGAGTACGATTGCCTGCAGACTGTTCTTGAAACACAAGCCTCTGGCTCTGGATAATTACATGGATAACAAAGCTCATTGCTTGAACTGATCTGGGACACATTTAGCTGTAGAGCAGATGATGCAGCCAATGCAGTGGCATCTGGAAGAAACCGCTCGATTATGAAATTTGAGCACTTTTGGTTCATCTCCCTTGACTCTTCTGCAAGCTTTAACCTCAAACTACCTGTTGTTTCATGTTCTCTCTGTGCTTTCTTTTCCACAATGTCTATTGCCTCTGACAATGAGAACACATCTATGGCATCTGAGAAAGCATCGTTGCTGTAATCAACGTTGTCAATATCGCCATCAACATCACCAACATCATCATCAAAATCATCATCGCCCTCACATCCATCATCGAGATTATGAGGCCGGCGCCACCAGCCTGGAGGTAGCTTGGGTCGAGGTGTGTCCCCATCATCGACATCATCACTTATGTTCAAGTCTTTGGGCTTGCCAGGAACTTGTTCCCAGGAAAACGGAATTCTGTCACTCGTGCTCAGCGATGCGCCTTGTAAATCTACGCTGCCGGAGTTTGCAAGGCGCCTGGTTGAGAGCAGTGGTACATTGAAGTTCAGCATTCTAGGACATTTTGAATCTTCAACTTTTACTTGCAGGAGAGCATATATTGGAAGAACTAAAGCTGTAGGTGAATGAGAAATGTTAGGGGCAGTTGAATAATATAATTGCAGGACAGTTGGACTTTTATGGGTATCTCGTGCGGTCCGTTTAACACTGATTTTCACTTTAAAATGGTCACAGGTGATAAGGTAGAAAGGCCCTTTCCTATGAAATTGAGGGGACCAGTTCAACACCATTGGATTTACCCACTTACATTCTCCAGTCAAACAGAAGTGTAGGGCACCAAATAGGGCAATGTAGGGATGTTTTGTTTTGAAGTCATTGGCAGTTCACTACTTCAACATCACTGCATGGTGTCAAATTTCTTGCTTTAAAATCAAATAAAAGGCCTCAAAATCACATTTTATGCATTGCCTAGATGATACCAAAACTATTAATAAATTGAAGGGGAAATTAAATAGAAAAGAGTCCTCAAAAAGTGGAAAATGCAGAACTGGCTTTGAATTTGGCCCCATTAAGCCTCTGTAAAAATAAATCATTTTCGTGTCGGTCATAATGGAAAACCATGAAGGTTATACAACGAATGAGAGAACAGAATGATAAAGATTAGAACACATTGCAAACCGCTTGGCCGAAAACAACACAAAGTAGACATCTAAATTGGACAAACACGCATCACAAGCTTACATATCATGTACAAGATTCTTTTCGCCGTGGTTTACTTCTGCTCCCGTCTTTGCTGGAGTAGTATATCAGACAGTAGCAGCAGCAGGTCTCTGCTCTACTTAAATAAATTGATCCAATCAATAAACAGTTGATATTTACATGCTATCTTGCTCCTCTACTTTCCTTCCTTATGAATCCAAATTCTTTCCTGGCTTCCACTCTTCAAGCCATGGAAATCTACAATTGTAGATTTCTAGAGACAAAATCCAAAGGAGCACCTATGCTGACAATTGCTGGCCTTTTCCACATTAAAAGAATCAGGTAGCAACAGCATGATTGCCTCCATACAATAAAGAATAATGGCTCTGTGATTCTCTCACTTCAGTTGTTCATTAACGCGCTCCCGTGCTTTAGCATAGAGATCATGAGTGTCAGCATGGTTGGGATCAAGACAGAGGGCTGCTTCACAGTCTCGCACAGTGGAGACAAAGTCACCCATTGATTCGTGAAATGCTCCTCGAAGATGTAGCAGCTGCAGGTCCGGTTTGAAAGAAATGGCTTTACTTAGTTCTTCTATAGCTTCTGCTTCTTTGTGATCATCCATCAAAACTGGTCGCCATAATTTCCATGTTAGTTCAGAATGTTTTCCACACACCCATAGACACTTTTCATAAGGAATTCAAGGGGTCACCACTGTACAACTGATAAAATAATCATATGAAGCATATAACAGACCAAACCTAGGTTCCACCAGAACGTCAAAATGAAAATGTTCAGTTTCTTTTTTTTTTTCTTTTTCTATCTTAAATTATATACTTCCTTCTTTAATAGTAAGTTTGGTCACTTAATGACAAATTTCATGTTACCAAATACATCAGGAATCAGGATGCTGATTTCTATTTAAACTGTCAGTGTTCAGTTCAAATCCTACTGCAGAACAATAAAACAGAGATGTACTAGTTAGCTATTGTGTATAATACAACTTCAAACATTGGGCACGAGGGGGAACGCCCAGATAGACATGCAACTTAGGCTCAATAAAAACGAGTCAAAATGTTTAGACAGATAAAACTTAAACAAAGGTGATTGAAAAAGAGGAAGGGGAAAAAAACTCGGTTCTAAGGACCTGAAATAAAGCCCTCTAAACTGTTCAATTCCATAGCAATTGAAACTCCAGCCAACAGAATGGATCACCGGCTCATCAGCTTGAAAACCTAGCTATGTGTAGATTCTAGTTTCTAGGTGATTCATTTGACGCATAACAGCTGATAACTAAATTAAGGCCCAAGGACTTGGAATCAATAATGATCATTTCTGTATATCTATATAGTAACAATATCACCATTGATGCAGTTTCACCTCCCAGCACTAACTATAAACAGTGACTTCCAATTTAAAAGCCATGTACTAAACAAACAAGAACCATAGTAACAACATACCTGCTGCCCTATATCTGTATGGATACGTCCTCAGGGGATCTAATTGTGTAGCCGTACTTAGATCATTTTTTGCCATGTCACGGTCACAGTATTCTGAACGTTTCTCATAAGCTGATGCATTGTTTCGCGCCTTCTCTATCAGCTTCGTCATCTCATCATATGCAGCTTTGCGGTGATTTTTAAGATGATATACTCGTGCTAGACCCTGATGTGCTCGTGTATGCTTAATGTTGAGTGCATTTGTGTAGCAGTCAGCAGCAAGATCCAGCTTATCAGAATCTACGTACACACTTCCTAAATTATTTAGTGCCTGCAGGATAACAGAGTTAACAATCTGAATAAAATTGAAGTTCAGAATATCAGGACCAAAAAGTTATTCTAAGGATGAAACTTACTTGTCCTTTTCTAAGGCCATCTGAAGGGCATCTAAGTGCTTCCTCCAGAAGTTGGATCACATATGTTGAGGACTCAGAATCAAGACTTGAGTCTGCTAAAGCATACGCTTTAAGAAAAAATGCTTCAAATGATCTCTGGATAGAAATGGACTCCTCTGCCTTTGCCAAAGCTTCTTCACGATGACCAGTGTCATACAATATCCATCCTTCATAGACAAGCCGTTCATGCTCAGAACTAGAATGATTTCTAGCTAACCGCAGACTATGCATAGCAGCCTTTTGACAATTTAACCTGTGAATTTCAGGACCATCAGAGATGCTGCTAAAACAGAACAATATAGCAACTAAGGACAACCAAAAAGCACTAACAATTGGATTAAATGGCTTATTTCTTCTGTATGATACATCTTAGGATCAGAAGAGGCTTAGAGTTCTGCCAGCATGCAATATAGGCAGATAGGAGGTTGGCACATACAATTCCAATTAATCAAAAGTGAATTAAGTTCTACAAGTGTCAAGAACTTAAGATGTTATGGCCTGGATTAAGACCTTCACAGGAAAATGGTAATATGCATATTAACAAAGAAAAGAATGTACAGAATTATAATCAACAGAAAAATTAACATAAAAAAATAATAAAGAAAATGCAGTATAACTGAGAATATCGAAGTAAAGTGCCACTTTCTCCTACTTACCGTAACAGAAGGAGAGATTGCCTAAAGCGTAGAAGGCTCTTCCCAGGGTCATTTGCCAACATATGATGTACAACAGCTAGAGAACCAATATCATCAACAGAGGACCATCGATCATATAGTTGCATCCAACAATCAGCCTGACTCCATTGTTGAACAAGAGGGCGGAGCAGCTCTACCAGATGGTCACCGTGCATTTTTCCATGAAACATCATGTAATTTGGGTCCAAAGTCAAGAGTGCTCGGACGTCTCTGAGAGCTCCTTCAAAATCTTCTAGGGCAATTGAAAACCAAGCCCGCAATTCAAGACAATCAGGGGAGACCTTGAAACTAATTATCTTGTTGATCTCTGTGATACCTGCTTCAACTTGGTTCTCCTCCAACAGACAAACAGCCCTTAACTTGTATGGATAAGATAGAGTTGGATCCAATTGAGTAGCAGTTGTCAAATCCATCATCTTTTCCTTTCCAATACAATACAGAGATCGATCCTGATACATCCACCCAACCGGTGTATAATCAGAAATGAGAGAGTTCATCTGCTTGTACGCTGCATACTTATGACCACGCTTGAACTTGGCCCTTGCAACACCCACCAAGGAATAAATATGACCAACCTCAACAGCTGCTTCAAACCACCACTGAGCATCTTTATATTCTTTCCTCTCAAGCATCACCACACCTAACTGATGGAATGCAAGTTGCTTCTGCCAACTTTCTGTGGCACACTCTCCCAGCCTCTCTAGAAGCATCACCGTCGTGTTCGATCTCATGTCTTCCTCCATGGCAATCTGGCTGAGGAAATAATACAAAATAAAAGAAGCATGCCCTGCCATAGTCAATCTTTGCCTTGCTTCTGAATTACAAAATAATCTCATCATATGAGGATTATGCAATGAACTGGGGAGCTCTCTCAGAAACACCTGCAAACAAGCTGCCACTAGAAGATGAGCAGTCTCCTCCAATCCATAGTCAATAAGCAGCATTGCATCCTCCAGTTCACAAACCAGAGATGCCAAATGAGAATCGCAAGCCGACTTCATATCATCACAACAAAACCTGTTTGCAAAAGAGAGAAGGTCCAAAACAATCCTCACATCAAAATAATCTACTCTCTTAGTCCTGCTAAAAATCTCCACTGCTCTCATTGCCTCCACAGAGATCCCATTCTGCGTGAAATTTATCTTCTCCCTTCGCCTCTCCTTGAAGTTGCCATACAACATTGCATAAAAAGGTATCGAAAGCGAGGCAATTTTGTATCTTACACACCTAACCTCAGCATCTCCAATACAAAACGACATATTACCATCCTCCTCCGAAGTCGAACATTCCTCATCCCCCACCATCACAAAATCATCGTCATCTTCATCCCCGCGAGGAGTGTCATCTTCTTCCCGGCGAGGTGTGTCATCTTCTTCCCCGCCAGGGGCCCGAGAACAAATACAAGACTCAAAAGCAGATTCAGGGTCATACCCAGAAACTAAACTAGCCTTAGGACATTCCACATTTCTACCACAGCAATCCATTGCCGACGACCCAATAAGCTCGTCCTCTCTCCTCTCATACCTCAACCACGCAGCTAGCACCACCTTCGTGTGTACGTCCACCGCGTGCTGCCTGGCCGACCGGAGGCTCCGTCGGAACAATTTTGGATCGGACAGACCCCGAAATATAGCACATTGCTCCATATACATCTTGGATTTCTCGAATTGGGGGCAATGATCAATCCTACGGTAGACATCAGCTAGGGTTTCGACAAAATCGACGGACTTGAGGGAGGGTTCGATTTGGGGCTCGAGGAGATCGGAAG